TTGACACTCAGCTCATAACAAACTATATGGTCCATCATCACCTGAGCACCTGCTCCATAACAGTCTCTGCCTTCTTTCAGCATCACCCCAAGATATGTCACATTTCTATGCCTGAATAGATTTAATGCAGAACTGTAATGTAAATATTTTCCAAGCTTTATGTCCTGTGTTGTGTGCTGATGTAATTAAAGACCTTACCAGAATGCAATTAACAGGCATAGACTCACCAAGGCAATCGTGACTCTGAATTTACTAACTTTCATGCTATATAATTATTTTTCAGTGTTAGAAGCATCTTCCAAAATTCATCTACTCCTGTGCCCTTGTTCCTCTGATCTACCATTTCTCACGCCTGTGGAAGTTTCAAGCTTTTATTGAAATTCACCAGATTCCCCTCGTCCTCCTGACCCAAGTCACGGCAAATAATTCTACCTAGTTGGCAGGTCACTTGTGCTGCATAAAAAACTACAGTGCATGCTCCCATGTAAGAGATTGGGAAAAGAACTTAAAACCTTGAAAGTAGAATTTCTTTTTAACCCAGCAAAGTTGTCAAAATTTATATGTTTTGTTCTATAGAAAGTTCTGATGTCAACATTTATTTTGGATGCACATCTGGAAGAAATGCCGAAACAGTAATGTTTTTACTGAAAGCAAATGTGTCCTTTCTCAGAAAAAGTTTAGCTTCAGCTTGGTTTGATATAACTGTGCGTCCCTTGGAACTGCTGTAGTGCCTCCTGAGGGTGATACATCATGCTTCTCGGCCGATGAAGTTCCCAGCCAGCGTCTTGTGATGTTTTGTGGCCATCTGACATTGCAGAAATTTAATGAGAGAGACGATTATAATGCATTATGGGAGTATGATGTCTATAAATTAAAATGTCCACAAGGCACACAGTAACTCTTGTGGACATAAATTAAAGCTGAACTGCCCCTTCATGAAATGTTTTAATTCAGTTTGACAAACCAAAGTATTTCAATTTAGGTTGAGCTAATTCAAAACAAAGCATTTTATTTTTCCCAATGGGGAGTAAAAATCTCCAGCAGAAGTGCCACAGGGAAATTCAAAGCTCTTAAAGACTAAATTTCCATTCAGAAAAAGATATTCATGGGAAATATCTGACCCCCAATAATACATACTCCATATCCACATATTTATATAAATATATAGACAAATATATTATCACAAACAAAGAAATATAAGCCTGGACTGTTAAATATAGCTTAATGGACTTAATATGCAGTTGGTGATATTTAAATTACAGTTTGTTGTATAATATCCAAGTAGGAAAAGGAAGTCATAGAGCATTTATTTCTAACATTTATTTCTAATGCCTACATGGATGACTCTATATGTTGCAAGCTCATCTCAGTAGAAGGTTTTTTTTTTTCCCTAAGTTTCACAGGAGAGGGAGCTGAGAGGAAAAAGTGATCTGTTTCATCTCAACCTTGATGTGTTCACAGCACTGACAGGCCTTCTATTGCTTCATGACAATCCTGTAACACTCTAGCAATTTGGAGACATCTCATTACTTCTGCACAATTTTCTGGCTTCCCATTTTAAAAGAGGAAATCTGTTTCCCTGAGGCAGAGCTCTGCTATTGCATTGTGACAGAAATCTGTGTGTTTATGTATTGCTGGGAAAGGCCTATGTACACCTTTTGTATTACCACTGTTTATTGGGAAAGATTTCACTTATTTTGGACTTCCAGAAAACTTATTTCACAGTTTTTTTTCAAGAGGATTTCTATTTCCTAGAGACCAAAATTCTGTTTAGTCCCCAAAGCAGAGTCCTATCCCCAGGAATCTGTGCCATCAGAGGTGGAAAGGTGCGAACAACATAAAATCCAAACACCTCATAGTTTTTAATGAGGTTTCACCATCGCAGAAAGTATGAAATTAGGCTCTTGTTATTCTTATTTCAGAAACCATGAGTCATTGTAGACTGTTTCAGACACAGAATAATGGCAAAGCAACTTTGGAAATTGACAGTAACTGTTCTTATAGCAACACGGTTTGCCACTCACAGCTGCAAACCCGTTTCAGAAGCACAGTGTTAACCTGGCCCATGACGCTGGAGATTCCACAGCCACGTCAGCTCTGCCAGCTGCGTCGGGCTTCCAGCAACAGTGAGGAGTCCTGTAGGAGGGGATATTTCTGGGATGCAGCTGAGTCACAGGGATTGCAAGCACCAAGGGTGCTATGAAACTGTGTAGACACACACAGGTAGAGCCATGTCCATCATTCCCCTCTGCTCTCTGACCCCACCTGACTGTGATGGCACATGGCTATGCCGTAGCAGCTTGTGACCGTGAGCTGCTTCTTGATAAGAAAACTAGACCACTCATTTTCCATTCCTCATTTTCCTCACTGAGCTATAGGGTCCGACTCGCTTCTCTGCCTCAACCATCTGGCTGGAGTTATCCTCATGACCTTTCCAGAGTCTCTGCTTTCCAGGATGTGTGCCTACCTCCCCACACTGGAGAGAGTTTTCCATTCTGTCCCGCTAGATATACGCCCTGGCGTTTGCACTTATTCAAACCTAGTTTTGCTCAAAGGGTTCTGTTCTATCAGATGATCAAGACTGAATCAATAGTCTGAAAAATTGCCCTCTCCTCCCCATCCTTTACCACACCACCAGCTTTGTCTTCCCCACAAACTGCATCAGCTCTAAGTTTGTACTTCTCACAGCCCACTGAAGTGACATGCTTGTCCCTGTTTGCCAACAATGCATGTCTGGTGTTTCCACACAAAAGTGTCACTGCACAATATGAGGTGAATATAAAAAGATTAACAGCTGACAAAAGCAGCTGGAAAACATTGCTTCTGGTAGAGGAATAGCAAAATATGTTGTATAGTAAAACACTGGGTAGAAACACTCCAGGAGATATGGATATAGCTCCAGGCAAGAGTACTATCAGCTTTTATGTATTGCCCTGCTATTGGGGCAATGAGGCCCTCTGTACCCTCCAGAGAGACACCAGCTTTCGGGGAGACACAAGTCCGTGCAGTGCAGGTTGCCTTTTCTCTGTGTCTGGAGTCCTTCCTACATGACAACATCACCATCCGTAGCTGCAATTTTGAGCTAGAAATAGCATGAAATATTTTTTCCTTCCTCTGTGCCCACTATGCCATTCACGCCACCAATGTCCTGCTGCAGACTCATCCAGTCCTTATCCCATTTACCCTCCTCCTTCCCTATATTTATGCCAGACTTATTTTGAGCCTCTTTACGTGAGCCATTAATCACAACATGCTTAGTCATTTAAAAATAAAAAGAATTACTGGTCTATGGACGTGACAAGTCATTTCCAGCTCCTGAACAACTTGGCAAGTGATTTTTTTTTCTATTTGGTTGAAAATATTCTAGACACACCAGGGAGGTTTTTTTATCTGTGTGTTTGGATAAAGAGAACATGTAAATGTGTCAGAGGGGATGAGATGGGAAACAGCCAACTCCTGAGCAGTTGCTAAAAGATGACACTTTGTAAACTATGTTGATAACCCTCTGTGGGAGGAATAGCAAAAACTTAATTAGTACTGATATGTATTAGGAGAAGTCTTATTTTTAGAGTTCTGAAAGGAGCCTGCAGGAACTCCTTGTTTTAACTTCTTGTACAGAAGTACAATGCCTTGACTGCACAGGAAGGTGAGAAGCTTCGCAGGGAATAAGATGACCTAGAGTTTACTGTGACTTAGTGTGCAAGTCTAGGAAGGCCTAGACTGAAACCATCACACTTAGCTTTGTTCCGTCCATACAAAAGGCCCGCTGACTTCTAGGAAGAACAAAAACCAGGCTTATAATTTCTGGGATCTAAACTAAAATGAAGAAATAAATAGTTTTGACATCTGGAAAAGGACCTCAACTATGAGGTGTTCCAGATTAGTTTGCTGCCTACTCCTTGACTATTCTAGCAAAAGTCATTGAATCTTTTTGTATTTCACCTCTGTTCTGGCAAATAGCAATAGCAGAAATGTTTGGGGCACAGATAGCTTTTCCACCTTGTCCATATTTTTTGCTTTTAAGAAATGTTGTGCTTTTTGCACTAAGACATGCCTAAAACCTTTTAAAACTTTCTACAGAAGGACAGAGATGGTATATAAAATCCCTGGTAAAAACATGCTAGGATAATTCACTCAGCATGTGAGGGGCTCAAAACTAATTCAAAAGTCTAACTCAGACACATGAGTCTAACTCTTCTCCTATAAACATTAATACCGTAGTTGTCAAGCCCTTCTAGGTCAGGCCAGCCTCATCCTACAGTGGAAAAGACCCTTCTTTCAGATAAAGATTTTTTCATTAAAAGTAGCTCTGGCCCAGCAAAAGATTGCATTTTCTTGAGAAGAAGCTCTTCTATTCAAATAGTCTTCCCTATTACAGATAACATTTTGCAGCTTTCACTCTGGACCAGTCTCATCTGGTAGCTGGGCTTTTCCATGACGCTTCAGTTGAAGTGAATAGAAAACATACTGTAAATTCTTTGCTGTCAGTTGTAACTTAGATACTGCACTTATCTGAGGTGACCTCAATCTTGTGGGAGGTCCCTTGGTTTTATTGCAGAACATAAGATAAAGAATAAATTAGTAATAACAAAACCGAACATTGAAAGACGCTGCATAGAGCCCTATGAGAGCACTGCTGTGGATGCCTCTTCCACTGTGTGAAAAGTCAGAGCCAGCATAGCTGAACAGGAAAACACGGTGAGAAAATCTTTGTATAGCATCATAGAAAGAAGACTAAAAATAGTCCAAATCTTGTTTCTCCACTTATTTAATAAATCATCTTTCTAAGGAGAACTGACACTTTGCAACCTCACAGCCATATTTTTAGGAGGTGGTAATAATTCGCAAGAATGGTCTGAGCTGGAAGAGAAGTAATTGATCTGAAGGGTCACAACAGATTGATGCTGACTGATTTAAACTGCAACACTGTTAGTTGAGATTAAACAGCAGGGAACTTTTTATAAAAAGTCAACTGAGCAAGAGAAAAGGCTTTTCTTCACACCTTCACAGGAGGTGTGAAGGATTCAAAGAGTTTGGGGCGCATCAGTTTAAGTTTTGTTATCTATTCTGACATATGGTTTCTTGGGCATCAGTACAGGGGATGTTTGCAGCCCTGATGGATACTAAGGACATGTCCAGGCTTCTCTCAGTGATGCTCTAACTCTACCTATGCGGTATGGATGCAGTGTTATAACACCATGGAAAAACAGCCTGTGATATACAAGTGTTTGAGGATCTGTCTCACTGATTGGAGCCACTGGTGTTGGTGTGGTCCAGATGATTGTCAGCCATAGGAAGAGGTGAGCAAATGTCCCAGGTACAGCCAGCCAGTGTCCATCCTGTATGGACAAGACAAGTAACAGCTTTGCTGTTACCTTCAGGAGGCTCCACCCCATCACCACCCTGTACAGATCCACATAGATACTTGTTCTGGACTGGGATTCCTAACTCTTCAGCAAAAACTCTTCAGTAAATCTGATGAAAAGCTGTCCTGCATGACAATTCTCTGTTGGGTGTCCTGTTCCCTGGAGCTTTGGTAGCTCCAAACAGTGCTTGTCAAAACATCTTCCAGGTTTCCATTACGGCTTGAAAGATAAATGAAGGGAAAACCAGCCATGCCCAGGAAAAGGAGTTTTGAATACAAATGAAATATAAATATTAGCGTACTGTCACAAGAAACACTGCTCTGAGCCACATATATCTGTCCCCTTTCTGTATTTTAAGATGCCCCCTTAGCCCAGCTGGCAGCATTATGATTCAATAACTGCCACTCGCTGTCAGACACTTACTGTCCAAGGAAGGGTGCCGAAGAGCCCACCAATTCCAATGAGCAAGAGAGTTTTCTTGTGTGACAGGAATTGTTTATTCAGTCCTGTTTCTAAAATGGGGAGGATGCTAAAGACAAATTTGACTTTAGCTGCTAAAAACATCCAGCTTTATTAAAAATTGTTGCCAGGGCAGAAGCAATATTTTACAGCCTGTGAAGTCATTCCTCCTGGATGGAATTTTCTTCCATGTGCCTTCATGCTGTACACACTGTAGGGAGAAGGAAGTTATCAGAGATCAGGGCATATTGAAAAAGGCATAAGAAAATATGTGCACATCTCCTCTTTCTCTCCTTATAGTTCTGTGCAAATGCTGCCTCCTAGAGATTCTCAGCCTCTCCCAAGTTTTGTGGCTATCTCCATTTGAGAAACTGAATGACCACTGCAGCTGCTACCTCCTCCTTCTTCATTTTCACTTCCAGTTTGTGCTCAGTGGTGGGATGAACAGGAGTCAATACCAGCATTCATCATCACATCCATAGAAACTTCTAATGAGATACAAGGATGCCATATTTTAGACACTCCATTTCTCCTCCTGCAAACAACCCTGCCAAACCAAAGGGCCAGGTTGTTTTGAGAAGAATGAAGGGATGCAGCTTGTCATTTGCTAGCAGTGGTTGAAGTGGTATTTCTGTTTGCTTAGCTCGTCCCTCAGAAGACCATTTCCAGGCACACTGCATTCAGGGGTTTCCTGCTACATAGTGATGGGAAGAAGATAGGTTAGAATAGGTGAGTCCGTCTGCTTAATTGGATCCTGCAGAAGGACAGTAGAGAAATTCACTTACATAAAACAAGAGCAAACTGCTACTCTCAGACAATTATTAAGCATGCTTGGAGACACAGTCTAAGCTCATGCATAGCAGACAGGGTGTCCAGTTGCCACTTGGATTTCTGAGAACCCACTCTGTTGCGGCGAGCGAAGGCCATGATTAGTGCTAACCGTACCATGAAGTGGTTACAAGCAGAATTAAAACATGTCATATGCATAGCCACTACTGTGATTGCTATGGGTTTTGGGGAAGAGAGTGAAGAAAACATCAAATACAGCACAAGGGAATCCCTGAGAGACACAAAGGCTCAAGCATTTGTATCTCCCAGCTGGAAAGTTGAGTTGTTGAAAGGAGACTGTGGTTTTAAGGAAGCTCACTGGATAAATCTGTCAGGGTGATAAAAATAGTTTGTGTTTTTGTTCCATCTCCAGCAGCACCCATGTTATTCCCAGCATGGTCACAACTTAGGCCTCAGCCTCCATCTGCCTGCTTAGGGGAGATCATTTCATTGTGTCAGCTGTCTCAGAGTCATGGATGTGCATAGCACTAGTAATCTGCTGCAGCAATTTTCCATGGTATCAGTCAAATTCAGCAATATTCCTTTACCTGCATCTATCTGAGTAACAGTCTCTGTCCTGCATTCCACACCAAATGCCTTTAAAGACCAATACAATACCCAATGGCGTTGCCTGGGGCTAACCTCAAAGGCAGTTGAATCAAATTGTTAGGGTAAGATTCAGCATGTCTAATTTCAGGGGTCTGCAAGGAAGCAGTTTATGACTCAGTGGGTTGCCCTGGGTCCTCTTGAAAGTCATAAAGAGAAATAAACACTTTTAGGATCTGATCTGTTTCACTCATTTTAGATGTCTACGTCACAATGAGGAAACTAGCACTTGGTAAAGGGAGACTGTGCATCCAGACATCTAACTCAGAGGAAGATGTCTACATCTGTCAGCTGCATCCTACCCATTGTGACTAAAGGGAAAGAGTGCATCATATTTGCTTACATTCAAAATTTATGCCATCCAAAGCTTTCTGCCAAAAACAGCAAATGTCTTCACATGATGAGACAGTACTCAGTATTATGTGGTTTTCATTTACTCCTTGAAGCCTGAAGAAGTCAGAAACTGTAAGTGTAAGGAAGTCTGGAGTGCAACATTGACCTTATCACACAAGACCGTTTTTGGTACATCAAAGCCCAGCTTCCACTCACAGCTTCTGGTTGATAGTTCCAGGCCCTTAATTCACTCACTAATTTCAAAACTTCTTAAAAGTTCCATGTAATAACAAGGGATAGAATAAGGGAAAAGAAAAAGGGCAGGCTTTGCTCAGAAACGTGGTTTGAATTGTTCTTACTAAAGCATGGGTAAATGTTTTGCCAAAGCTAGGAAGAATAAGTCTACAGCTAGTGTTTAAAATACCCTAAGTGACTAAGCAGTACTTGACCCAGCAGGACTGCAGCTTGAGGTTACTGGCAGCTCATTGCCTAGGAACTGTTTAGGCACAAATATGAAGATAAATAACTTATATTCATTTCAAGGAACAAAAGGGATTTTATGTGTATTAGTTGAATTTATCAAAATTCTTTCATTTCTTACTGTATAAAGTGATATTTGTAACAATAATACATAGTATTTGTAACACATTTCTGCTGTGAATTTTCCTAGAAGAAAAAACAAGAAAAATATATCCGTATTGAATTTGACAGGCAGGGATTTTTCCATCTTCCATAACTCCAATTGTTTCACTTGCACTTCATCAGAATGAAAAAGGCACAGAAGACTTAAAATTGACTAAAACCTCACATTTTTCAACAGTTTTGTGGAGTGTCTCTAGATGCTAATACCTCTGAGCATCACTTCACTGTTTAACAGTTGGGGGATTTTGATGGTAACGTGTAATTGTTGGTTCGTTCTGGCTTGTGGCACTAGATAATTATGATCCTCTCTGCTCTAACTAATGGTGCCTTCTCTACATCCTGATTTTTTGCTGTTGTAGTTCTCATGCTACTAGTTGTTAAATATATGATATCCGCAATATTGTAAGCCCTGAAGAATCATAGAATATCTTCAGTTGGAAGGAACTCATAAGGATCATCGAGTCCAGCTCCCTTACAGACCATTAATTTATATAATGGGCTTGATTCTCTACTATCTCTCATCTGGAGGTGCTGCAGTGCCTTTGCAATGGAAAAGACCTGTAAATGACATAGTTGCCTAGGCTGGTTCTGTAGCTATTCTCTCACATGCACACACACATGGTTCACAATATGAAAGGGAAGGATAAGCAATCCACGTATGCTGCACACCAGCCGTTGATCTGATCATGTGGGAAAGAGCACTCCATGTGCCAGTAAATTAGAGTTGACTTTAAATTTTGGGTGGTGTTGATGATGTGACACTGGACTGGATGGAGCCTTGTAATCAGGAGAGCAGCACTAGGCTCCATAAGACACCCCAGCCCCAGCCCTGAGAGACACCCATGCTCTGTTCCTGCTCTGCTCCGACTCCCCAGTGCAGCACTGGTATGGCCAAGCTGACTCTGCTTGGTTTGCTGCTGGGGTGCTGAGCACACATAATTCCAGGGCCACCACACCTTCCTTCAGCCCCAGACACAGCGAATGACATGCACCACTGAGTCAGCCACTCACTCTGGTCTTTTGCTTAAGGTCCACAAAATTAAAAGTCTCTCCACTGTGTTGACAGCTGGAATCGTTTTGGTTATGACTACCCTCCAGCATCACACTGCTTTTCTGACTATTCTGACTAGATGACACTAAACAAAACTCAGCTGAATGTTTCAGACTACAAACAGCTTTGTGAAACCAGAGTGTCCCTGACACACAGCCCTGGGTAACTGCCATCATTCATTCTCAAAAGCCAGCTTCAAACAGCACCATCTATGTTTGATACGCCCTTTCCAAACATCAAGATTTATTCTTGGGAGCACACAATACCCTGAGTCTGTACTAAAGTACTCATTGTTAGAGTTCACAGGACTCAATAAATAAGTCCCAATCTTCAGCTTGCCATTTTAAAGGAAATATGGTCAATTACATAGATAAAACTAGGAAAAAATTGCCTCACACTTCATCTGCCTATGATTAACAAACTATACCCTGCTCTGAGACTGGAGAAAGGGCAACATCCAACCTGGCTGTTTTGGGAGCTCTTGGAGAGTAGATGTGCCTTGAAACCTTAGCATGACACTGGGCATTGCACATCATTGCTCCAAGTTCTCCTCTACGCAGAAAAAGTGGCACAGCCACCCCTTCCCCACCAGCATGGATCCGTGTGGAGCTTCATGACGAAGCTCTTTCCCCGTCTTCTTCCTCTGTGGGAAGCAAGTGTGGGAGGTCTTGGTATGCCACAGTCCAACATGCCTGCTGTCTGCAGCAAGCTCTACCCAGCATTTTTTTTCCTGAACTACCTCTGGCATTATTCAGCTAGATCCCTGCATGGTGGAGATAAGTGTGTGGACATGAAGGAAAAGGCTGAAAATCAATTGCAGTAAAGTTTGCTGATGAGAGGAGTGCCATTGGCAAAAAAGGGAAAACACACTAAAGACATAGGGAGCCGAGAGAACAGTGTGTTTTGCTGAAGAAAACTAAGCCTGTTTCAGGGTCTCAATTCTAATTTTAAGAAATTCTGTAATACCACTGGAAAAGGTATACAGTGAGAACTTCAGTCTCTGCAGCAGTGTCTGACTCTGAGGTCAAGTGGGCAAAAGCAGCTTACACTCTTGGCAGCAAGGTATGGATTTTGCAGAAAATGAGAATGAACCCACATGCAGTGACCTTCAGAGTGAAACTATTTTCTTTAGATTGTCTTGATGGACGAATGGACAGAAGAAAGGAACAAAGGAAGGAAGGAAGGAACAAAAGAAGGAAGGAAGGAAAAAAGGAAGGAAGGAAGGGGTAAAAAATAGGAGACTGATGTAGGAGAACTGAGTCGGAAAAGGGTGAAAGATTAATAATTTATAATTAAAATACAAGAAAAAAAGCCTGTAAGCATGATTACAGAACTATAGGAAAATGTACTGCTTTATGCAGAGTTCTGTATAAATGGATAAGTCTGATTAAAAGCCTAGGGAGAGAGAAAACACCCTGCAGAAGGAAAAAAATCAGAAGGATGTTTCTTTGCTCATTGGCAGTGTTATGCTGATTCTTCTTTCCCTCAACTATTCCAGAAACTTGTATTATGGTTATTACTCCTATTCATTTGTTCTCCTTTGCTTTGTAAACCAGGAGAATGACTTCACCATAGAGAAAAGAGGGCAACTTTGGGTCACCTGGAAATTTTGCCATCTCTAGTGAAGAAGGTTTAAATAGTGACAGAAGCTTTACAGCACAACACAAGCAGAGAAACAAGACACTCCATCTTGGGGAGATGACACTTGCCAGCTTCTAGGCTTGTTATTGATGTCCTATCAGATACAACCACACCGGATTATCCTGTCAGGAATGGTAACATGCAGCACAGAAGGTGCAAACAGTTATTTTAACTCACTGCAGGAACATGTGCACTCACACACTACACATTTTGAGGATGTTACCCTGCGGAAGGGACACCTATCAGCTAAAGATAGGCATAAAGCATTTGGAGCCTTCTCAACACATGCTTGCCCCGGTCGTTTTTATATACAAACAAGCTACTTCTTGAAAGCAAGGCCTGAAGCTCAGATGAGTATTTATTGAGCATACACTTAATTAAAATGCTGGGTTTGCTGCTGAGGCAACAGACTCATGAAAATAGAAGGAATAAAAGTCAAGAACTTTTGAGTTGAAGTGTTTGAAAAGCAAAGACTCATGAAACCACAGTAGCTCTGAGTAAATGTCTTGTCTGAATGCTAATTCATGCCACTGAAAAAGTATATATAACACCAACTATAGCAAAAAGAAAAAACATGCGTACTTTAAACAAACTAAACCACTCCAAAACCACCCTGAACCATATGCAGTGCTGGAATACAATTACTTGGGGTATATATTCCCAAGGAGCAGTTTTTATCAGTCAGTAGCTGGTTTACATTTTCTCAAATAAATAAACTGTATGTGTGTGACTTTCTATTGCTTCATGAAAACAAAGTTACATAAAAGCTGGTTATTTGCAGCATAACCTTTCTGAAGAAGCCTCAGTTGATATCAGGTAATTATTTGCCACCCGAATCTAATACTTTCCACCTCGTGCCAAGTCATTTTCACAGTATCTGCAGGGTGTGATGTGGATCAGAAATACCTTCACCATCCGTCAGTGCTGAAAATCACTGGAGCTGAATCCGTCTGCCCGTGTTTACCCAGCAGCCAGAGTAGCGTTGCTAATGCGAAGGTCGCCCCATGTGAACCCATCAATCAGTGAGCTGGTGTTTTCAACTCTGTACCAATATCAGAAATAAGCTCAAGGGAACAGCTTTTAACCCTTCACTGTTTTTAAATGGTTGAATCCATCTGTCCTTCATGGAAGTAGTTTTCAGAGCCACTTCCAAAGTGACCTTCTGTATGCAACTTCAATACCTTACCTATGAGATACACCTCTGACCTGCCCAAGAAACTGTAACTTAGCTGCTGAATACATCTCAATATGGGTAGTGTAGCTAAATAAGCTGTAACTTCTGGATTTAACTGTCAAGAAAACTCCTAGTGTGTATGCTCTGAACTGATCACCAGCTATACTAAGATACAGTTTAAACATTTCAACTCAAAATAGAGTATTACATTTAATTACAAGTAGCTTTCAATTTTATTTAAGGTTGAAGTGGCTCCTGTGGTTTTTTTTATTCCTAATTTGATTTTTGGGGGACATCTATGTTAAGATTACAAATGCAGTCAGCTGCTCAGTCATACTTTAGGGTAATGTTCTATGTGCCCTTCTGCTTTGTACAGATAGATGCCTTTATGCTCTTTTTGTGATTAAAGCTAGCCAAATTTATTAATTCAAAACATTCTTTCTATTTCTAAATTGTCTGCATACAGATTGGGATTTCCATTAATTTCATTCTTACCTGAAATTGTTCAATGGGTGCTTTGTCCAAGCACACCTCAGACCACAAACTTTTTGTCACTGACCTGCAGTGACTGATTCAACCACCTCATGTTCCCAGTACTGAGTCTGGTAGAGCTGTGTGTCTGTGTGTGGGTTAGAACCCTGAACAGAGAAGAAAAGGTTTTGATGAAGGCATCTACAAAGATTCACAACTGCAAAACCTGAAGAAGCTTATCTTGGAGCTTGTGGAAAATAAGCATAACTAAAAAATACGAGATCTTCATTTGCCACTGAAGTGTATTCGCCTCTTGGCAATAGTTCACAACAACATGGGCCCTGGTCTGAATTCTGGCTTTATAAAATTTTAACCCTACAGAAGTGTCCTGAAGCATTCAGTTAAACAGTTGAGATGACCTAGATTATAGCTGGAGCTAATAAAAGCTGTTCTTTTAAGAAGTTAAATCCTGTTGTACTCCAAATCAACTTGTGGAGAGAAAGTTAACTGTGAAATAATCCATAGCCTTTCCTTATGTGTCCTAGATTATTTCAGTGCTTGTTTTTCATTTATTTGGTTGCTTTTTGTTTTTGATAAAACTGTTCTAAAATTTGTACTCTTAAATAAGGTATATAATACAAAATGAAGTGATCAATTGAAAGTCAACTTGTTTTGAAAAATGACGCTGCTTTATGTGATGAAGTTTTGTGAAATCTTCTGAGAAATAAGTGCTTTACAGCATGTTTTTGCAGTGTTTGCCACTCTTGCTCGAGACCATTAGCTTACACGCATTCTCGTCTGTATCGTTCCTCTAAAGTATTGCAATGGGAAATGATTTTGGCTTCTTAGCTGTTCTGCTGCTCACACAAAATCCAGTGACAAGTCATCAGAATGTCTGATGAGTCAGTGGTCTCAGCAGCTTTGTGCAGTGGCAGAGATGACAGTACGAGGTGCTAATACAAGTCGGTGATTAATGGGATGTAAGAACACAGATAGATTAGATTGGATTAGGCATGCATATGTTTAGTTTAAATTTAAACCTTAACCAAAAAACCAAAACAAATAAATAAATAAATTCTTGTTGGTTTTTGCCTTGACAAAAACACCAAGCTATTCTAAATCACTCTCTGGCTTTCCAGTGGCAAGTAGCTTTAATTCAAAGAAGTCTTACGCAGCCTGACAAATCGTAGTCTCTATATTTGAACTCTTTCTGTCTATTACCTGTTTTATACCTGTCACAGCAGCAGCATAGACAGATAAAGGAATCATCAGCAGCATCCAGGGTGAACCTAGCCCTGGTCATATTGTGTGTTACATTGATGTAGGCAAAGGTGGGATTTAGAATCAACCAACCCATATAAGCAATCACTCCCAATTCAGTATTAATCAGTTGAGAATAATCCTTGCTACATCAGGAGCAGTAGCTCAGTGTAGTACTATGAAAATCAATGAAAATTCAAACTGTATCACAGATGTACTCTCTGTGCCTCATTTTTCCACAGATAAAACTGGGCTGCAAAGTTTAACAGTTTGTAGTTTGTATTAACCTGTGGTTAGACTTGTAGGAATCCATGGCTCTGTGTTATCATGCACTGGGGCATCAAGTGATCTCCTCCTTACAGACTCCTCCAAAGTTTTTCCTTTCCTGTAGGACCACTAAGACTGTCCTTGTATGAGCTACGATTTCCTGTTCTCCTGCTAGTTTATGCATCAATCTCAACAAAACCAGGTCCATGCAAGCACCTGTTTAAGCCAGTTTAAACCACTTCTTCCTTCCTGAAACAAAATGCAGGGTATCTTCCTATAATTTTTGCAGACACTTTAATTTGAAATACTCTGAGGTTTTATTTTTAAAAAATCCTGTGTATTTTCTTTTTTTCTGCCAAATCACGCTCTCTCTTTTCCTCTCAGTGCTCGAATACCAGGTGACTTTAAAGGAATTGCTGAGATAAGGAATATGGAAGATTAGTATGTTCCCTCAGTAGCAGCTCTTCACATGAGAGAGAGAAGTGTACTTTGGCCTTTAGATATTTTTTCCCTTACCTACTACAAGGTCTTGGCAAGTCATGGCCAAGTCAGAGCCCTTCATCTCCAACATGATCTCATCGGACATTGTTTGATCCGAGGAAAATGCTGAGGGACCTACTCAGAGAAACCTGGCTCAGTTACAGATAGAAGCACATCAATAAAGAGCTTGGCTGGGTATCTCTACCATGGCTAATACAGAGGAGTTCATGGAAGTGGACTGGGATGATCGCTGTTGGTTCAATGTGGAGATGCCATTGGCAGGGTTTTGTGTGAAGCAGAAACCAAGCAAACTCAGCAGGCAGTGCCACGTGTTTGGATTGAGGCACTGATACGCTGCCAGTGCTTTAGCAAAGATCTCCAAAGTTCTTTTAGCACAACTACAAAAAGAAACATAAACATTTGTGAATGCACTGCTGCTGAGACCTGTCTCACAGGCAGTGGTCGCAGGCATGTTCAGAAGACATACAGACCTGTTTGTAGTGCAGCTTGGGCTTGAGTGCATCAGAGAATAGACAAGAAATTAATTTCACCTCTTCCTGTTCCAGCAACTGAATTTTAACCTAGAGCTCTTTGCTGCCCCTGAGAATGCTTTTCCTGAACAGCCATGATGAACTTCCTGTAAGCAGTGAGGGACAAAATGGACAGGGACTGCACCAGGGTGCCTTGAGTCAGAGTGGAGGTACCTCAGCCCAGCTGTGGGAGAGCAGAGGAGCCAGCTCTTACAGCCACCCCAGTACCACGATGCCCTTTGCCACCTGGAGGGAAGAGGGCAGTAAAGGGAAAAGAGAGCAAAAGGAGCATTTAGAAGTGAATCAGTTAAAAAGTTTCTCTCCATGTGAACCTGTCAATCTTCTGTAGAGGATTATGCCCACTGGGGTGAGTAAGCCCAGGCGCGCACACACACACACAAACACACACACACAGACTTTCGCATAGTATCACTAAGACCTTGTGGTTAATTATAGCTCTGAATCTGACAGAGAAAAATTAGAGGGGAGAGGGACAGCTGCGGGATCCTGGGGTGTAGGGTCTGATTTCCAATGTAATCTGCAGCCCACCAAAGATCTTCGCTTTGGAAAAATAAAGTTCAGCCATTTCTAGTCCCTGCCTGCTGCTTTTCCATTGCCTCATGCGTGCTGTGAACCTCTGAGCTCCTAGCAGGGTCCCCATAGCAGCAGCCTGGCCCATGCTAAGCGAGGGTGGCTTGTGCCAATGAAAAATATACATAGGCTGGGATTGCTCAGATCTCCTTTTCTTTCTGTTCTGCTTTTTTTTTTCTCTAGCTTGTTGCAGGGGATGAGTCTGTAAGACCAGTGCTAGTTTCTTTCTTCCTAGGTCTGCCTGCAAATCTCTCCTAAACCTGGAATTAAAATGAGGTGGCAAGTTTTACCTTTTTCCGGTGACATGTCATCTGACTCTTCTGATGTCCAGAGGCAGAGCCTTCAGAAACAATTCTGTTGATTCCACATTTTAAGGATATGGATAGTTCAAGGTCTGGGTATTGCTTCTGTCTTCCTTTGAAACATGGGAGACTTAGGGAGTCTTGCTGCTCATCTTGAACCTGTTTACATGCAATGATCTCATATTACATTAAAAAAAAAAAAAAGACTCCATAAGGTGGTTGCAACATGAGCCGAAAGGGAGAATCCAAAGATTACATAAAACTGGGATCACTGTGTTTAAGGTTTGCACCTCTGGTCTGGGTTACAGCAGTTTGAGAATCATTTTAATGTACATAGACAAATAATTCCTCATACTTACTAAAGTACAGTCAGGAGTTGGGACCAGGTCTCCACTACAGGTTCAACACCATTTTTGGATGCAATCATAACTTTTAATGCATCTTGGAAGGCCAAAGAAACTCCAATGAACTGGAAAATGTTAGTGATGTGCCAATGCTTGAAGAGTATATGGGGCAGGGAATTATAGGCTGCTTAGCTTCACAACAATCTGAGGCAAAATCACGTACTGGCTGATTAGAAAATGGAAAATCCTACACAACTTTAATAATTTCTTTAAGTTAGGAATTTCTCATAGCAGTTCCTACTTTAGTAGTACCATTGTTTACCAGTATTTTCCAAGGAAAATTAGTTTAAAACATCCTTACCGGTTTAATGTCTTGCTCTACTTCCAGATGCGTATTAAAAGTGAATCATCTTCAACATAAGAATAAAGTGCAAACCTCACACAAATGCAGACCCCAGACTCTGCCAGAGTGTATTAGAAGTTAAGCACGATGCAAAATATTGATTTTCTTTTGAAAGCTATTTTTGAATTGTATAACTGTGGTCAGCCAAATTCTGATTTCTCCATTCAGAGACAATAGTCATTAAGAATACACTACGACTTCCTAGACTTCTTTTAGAGAACAGGTACAGTCAGGCATAGGATCATAGAATCATTTGGGTTGGAAAAGACGTTTAAGATCATGGAGTCCAACCATAAACCTGGCCCTGCCAAGTCCACCGCTAAACCATGACTGTAAGAGCCATAAACACACATCTTTTAAACACTTCCAGGGATGGTGACTCAGCCACTGGTAGGCCAAGCAGACAGACATCTTTAAGACACAGCTGAAGCAGCTGAACACATTATCAGTTCCATTTCCTTCAACCAAACTTTCAACAGAGATCAGCTGACATAACATTAAACGGAGTAACCTGATGCAATGCAAAACAGGTAGGTTAGTTAAAATTACCTTTACCAGTGACTTGAGCCATAACAGTCTGACTTTATCCTCACAAAAACACCCAAAGAGTTGGTTTTCAGCTCTCCAGAGTAGACAATAAACAGCAGCATGGGTACAAAGGTAGATCAGATTGCTCAAAGTCTTGTCCAGCTGTGTTTTGAAAATCTCCAAGGGTGGAGATCTTAAAAAAGCCTAAGATGACATTTTTTCCATCACAAATACCCATTCCCTTTTGGAGAGAACATTTCCCCTTTGGAGAGAACATTTCCCCTTTGCTGGGCTCCTAAGAATAAAATCCTCTGTATCCATGTACTGATTTATAGCCTCTTCTGTATTCTGCTGGCTTTGCAAAACAATCCCTTTCCTGTTAACCCATGCATGGAGGCATGTCCCAGAGCGCACAGATACAATAACCTAACATCACCACCTACATGGGCTTTGCAGGTCCCCCTTGAAGCATACGTTCACGCCAGGTCGAAAGCTTTTCTTACAGCTGATAATAGCGAAGCAAGAAACCTTGTTCCAGTTTTGACTGCATAGCTAGGTGATGGTGGGCGGCACACGTCACCTATCCGTACAGCTCCAACTTTAATGCAGCCACCATGATAGCTAGCCAGTTAGGTGGTTTCACCTCTCAGGAATGCTCTTGGATTGCCAGATGGAGGCTCTAGTGAAAGGCAAAACACCATGAGCCTGAATCTCTACTAACTTATCCCTTTGTGTCTTTCGAGAGAAAAACTGCTGGAGGTGTAAAGACAGCTTAAGCAGAGCAGGGAATCTGGTGCTGTAGGGCTGCTATGAGGACCACTGAGCCTCCCACAGGGAGAAAGACTTTCCAGAAAGGCAAGTCTGTGATGTGTCCCGGAGCAAGTCAGGGCTGGGCACGTCTTCATTACTACACTGCATTGAAACATTGCTTTGGAGGCCTGAGCTAGCAGTCAGTGCTGAGACTAGGTCCAGGCCGCTGACAGACTCTGTAGCCAAACCTTCTCAAGTACTTGCTGTTTTCTCCATCAGGGCAGAAATTGCTCCCTGTTTAACTGTTTACACCAAAACCTAGAAAAAATGTAGTCTGAGAAATTACTGAGTATTACAGCACTGTAGTTATCCCACAGCTCAGCTGCTCTCATTTCTGCTTGTTGTTGTTCCTTTTCCTTCCCCTCAACCCCTTCATTCCTCTGGTTCACCCACCATCCAGTCATTTTCTCTACTTGGTGGGGTTTTTTCTCCTATGCCTCCTTTTCAGTCTCTTTCTCTCAACTACTTCTCTTCCCCTCCCCCTGCCCTACATTTTCTGGCAGAGTTTTGGACTCTGAGTTCAGTTTTATTCTTCCCTGGAGAAATGACTTAATGCCTTGGCTCTAATGAGCAGTTTGCTAACTGTGAGACCTTGCTGCTTAGTCTGTATGGAGATGTGCACACCAGTAATTGGGAACCCCATTTTTCTTCTGCTTTGCTTTTCTTCTCCCCCTGCCCCCCTTTTTTTCCTAGTCTCATTTAGCCATATGATGGCTGAAGAGAGCAAAGAGTCAGACAACTGGGTAAGACCTTTTGTATTAGATCACTGCTGTTCATGTGCTCAAGAGAACAAGCTCAACAGCTCAGGGAGCACGGACTGCAACATGAATGAGACTCATGAGTATATATAAAGTTTCCTCTTTTCCCCTGTGGGGATGTTTTCCCACTTATTTTGCAAGCAGATTAAGCTGACCATGGATTGATTGTATATGCACTGCAATGTGGACACTGCTCTGGGTTGCCATCTGTGGGGGCACATGTCAACTGAGCCCTGCTTTCCCAGAGCTGCATTTGGCTGAAGACAGCCCATTCACCAACAACTTTCCAATGTTCCCAGCTCTGACCAATTCCCCTCTACCTCATAAACACGGGATTTATCCAAGTTTTAAAGGCCCTTGGGTACCCTAACTTGATCTGTTCCATTCAACCGCTTCCTGTAAACGGACATTTATGGTAATTTTAGGGGCCACCAGGGCCCATTCTCTATTCAAAGTAAACCTTTGCTCCCAAACGTCTAGACTTTGACCTCCTCTCTCCCCAGCTTTCATGGTCAAACTCCGCTGTGCTTCACACTCTACTCTCTATTTGCCTCTGAAGTGCCTCGTCCAGCCCCTCTGATTCTTTCTTGTGGTCTTCGCAGCTGCTGAACATCCTCCTTGTGAGACATGGGAAGACACCAGCAGTGGTAGTCAGCAGGACTTCCTTCAGCGAAGTAGTCACAAGGCACCCCACCTGCAAGAGGCCAAGCTCCAGTGCACTGCAAGTCCTCATAAAACAGAGGCTGAGAATACAGAAGGAATCGTTGCTGCAGCTGATAGAAGGTGACAGACTTTAAAAGTCATTTTAGTGCCTGAAAAATCTCAAGAACACAAAGTTTCCTGATGAGAGTCACTAGGTGTTTCTATTTCTAAAGCTTAACAAACCACAGAACTAGCCACACCCTAGAGTTGTCCACATTTCTCTTGGATGGCTCTTTCAAAGTCACCTAGTGGCTGCTATCCTGTAATGAAGAGCTTCCTCCTGATCACCTTCTTGGGATTCACCAGGGCCTAACTCTTGGTGAAATTGCATGTGCAGTACCCGTGTAGTTGGCCACTGTGGCAGTGTCAGTATCAGCAGCTATCCACAAAATCTAGATAGCCTTTGTGTGTTGCTGTGTGCCATGGTTGCATCCAAGTCCCTGATTCATTGTCTAGTCCAAGAACCACATGCAAGACCTTTATTCTGAATGTACTCCCAAGAACTGTACATGACAATTAGTATGTTTTTAGTGCACAGCCTGGAGTCCCTGTCTTAAAAGTACAGTTTTTCCTTGTGTCATTCAAGACCACATCCTGCCTTCCAAGCCATAAGTTGATAACAAAACGTAAAGCTCACCATTAACAGAATGTATAATTAAAAACTTTATAATTGACCTGTTAGCTAAGCTGATTAACAGCAGTCAGTTAGAGCTACAAAGTCTCTTGCACTCATACTTGATTCCCCAAATTTAACCTAGAGGCCAGTGATGTTGATCTCAGGAGGCAGTCAACCCCTTTCTTCTAGTGATTCCACATCTGAGAGCTACTGCACCTCAGACTGCAGCTGCTGCTATGCCTGGTGCTTGATATCTCTCTCTCTCTGAGAACTGGATAAGGCGACTACTGTCCTCCCACAGACGTGACCCGTCACAGGTGATGACCTCATATCATCGTGAATTAATGCAAAATTTTCAAGAAGTGGGGGGAATTTCTAACACCATGAATCCCATCTTTCTTCCCTCCCCGCTTTGATTTTTTTTCCCACTTTGGCAGGTCTTTAGTATCTCTGATATCAGCTTCTAATTGTTTGGGCCATCCTTGACATTAGTTTTCTGCTCAGCAAAACCTCAGAGGGTGACAAGCCATGCTGACACTCTACAATTTAACAGAGCTAAATACGGATCAGAGTCTGACTAAGCATTCTTCTTCAGATATTTTTACACCATTTCCCACCCATCTGTTATATTTGGAATAATAGTAATTAGCAGTTCATGTCCAAACCCCAAATTCACTTGCAAATACTTGAACTCATGACCACAGTTGGGCATCAATTTTTCAGACCTCACTGCATCAGTAATGCCACGTAAAAGAAAATTAGATTTGACAGCTGTTTAAATTGCAATAGCATACACTAAGCATATCTTATACTGTATAGAAGTGCAGAACAAATACATAGTGTTTTTGCAGATAGTACAGATATACATGTGCTTACTTTTCTCAGTGGAACAATTATTTTTTTACCAGGGGAAATGTTTCCCTGCTCTTTTAAACTTTTTAACAGCATGAATTTTT